CGTCATCAAAACCGTGAATTTCCTCTCCATACCTGTAAAAGACATTGGTAATGTAAAGATATCCATGGTCAAAAGTAATTAAATAGTTTTTTTATTTACTATCTTTATTTTCAAAACTACTGAGGATCATGTAATTTAATCAAAAATTCAAAATACAAGCGTTGAGTTTCATTTTGTGGACAAACCTCCATCTTTTTTTAAAATTCAAATTGTGTGTTTCATCTAAATGCAAGCTTTCAGTTTCATATCGTGGACAAATTGTTTATATCACAGGGAACTATACTAAGTAAAGGTATTAAATTAATACAGGAATCAGCATCAAAGAATGCAGTTCGAGCACGCCCCTTTCCAAAGTGAGACAAACCACACAGTCTGGGCTATCTAGCATAATTAGCCTGTGTTGTTTATCACGTATTGTTCTAGTCAGGCCTTATCAAATTCCCACTAAACAGCGCATATTTTAATCGAAATGCAATTTACCAGGCGTACCTAATACACCACAACCTATTACGAGTGTTTCGATGATCAATCGACGCTTTTCGTTTAGCATTAAATTGAGAAATGAGTTTCATCTGCACAAAATGACATTAGCAGGGAGGCGTTGCCAAAATCGAATGTAACCTAGTCTAATCAAAGACATTTAGGTCCTGTAAGCTTGTAATGATGAAATATTTTACACAACTTCAAGATTACACCCCTACCTAGCTCTTCGCTTGCTTTTCAAAATTATTTTTTTAACAAATTCCATATTTTGGAAAATTTTCGACCACCCTTGACCACCGCCAAAAGAAAACAACATCGAAGCTAGAATGACTTGATGAGTGATTTCTAAAATATCCCCCTCCCCCTAGTATTATCTCTTGAGAAGTGGACAGGCTTTCGCCTACAATGATGCAAGTGAAAACCTGTCCACTTATCTAAACAGAATACCCTCTCCTTCATGCAATCATCGTCCCAAAAGGAGTAGCAGTATACATGTATATGCAAAATGAAACTAAAGTGACCCCCTGTTACATGTCCTGATTTGCAGGATTGTGGAAACCTCTTTACTGTAGAAGTATGCTATATCAAGAAAAGCAAATATTTGCCCACAACGCTATAAATTTTATTAGGCATGTGCAAATGTTGTAAAACATTTTTATTTCTTATTTATTTCAAGACTTTCAGATTCGTCAGTGTGGAAACGAAATGTAGCGTATGAAATTTGAAAAGGACATTGACCAAATATACTTTTTTGTCATTTCCCCAATGATAAAAATAGAGTTCGGAGCTTCTAAATAGGTTTCCAAATAAAAGTTTCGCCATTATTAAAAAATAATTTCTTGTGAAATAACTTTTTTTAAACTTCTTTTTTTGTTGAATGTTTTTTTCGACATGGACTTACTAAAGTTTATACAGATTTGAAGCTGTTTATACAAATTTAAAATGAAAAAAATTGAAATTTTGTAGAGGACAGTATACCTGGTACATGTTTTTCAGTTTAATACTCTCTAGAAATTAATGTATGTGACAGATTTTAGTTTAATTAATCGAATATATATAAACATGATAAATGCCAAAATTCTGTTGAATCGTATTCTTTTTTTCTTCTAAAAGTCTATTAAAAATGCATCTATTTTGCGTTAAAAAAGTAAAAGTAATGACACACTTACCACAAACTTTATACTGCTTATTCCTAGGACCGTCTTTGCATTAATCACTTCTTTGGGACGGGGAGGCATACTGGGGCGAACTTTGAGGACACCGCCTTTATATTCCCCCGAAGTGTCTGTACATTAATCCTGATGTCTTGCTTCAGTAATGGGGAGGGAATGCAGAGGAATAGTTTATCGTACCTAATTTGTATGTATCGTCCTAAGCCTGAATAGTTCGTCCATATAATTAAACTGACCTTTAAATCACGGGGAAAGGGGGGAATCATTCACAAGATTACGTCACAACGTCTTTCCCATTAAAAGAACCAATTTTACGATATGTAAAGATTAGGAAACTGAAAATTTTACAACGAAACTCCATATCGTATCTTTCAAGTGCAATAAAAGTTGGAGTCTGTAAATTAAACAAGACCATTGTGACGATAATTTTACTCCGTCTCGCGTGTGACATTAAACAAAGGGGCGTGTTGATGAGTCGTTTTGGAAAAAGAGCCATTCCCCATATAATGCACAGGAACTGCTGATAATCAAGCCATTGATGAAGGCTCTCCTTCTAACAACGGGGGGTTTATTTACGTCTCTCATTATACGCTTAGACGAACATGTATACTTATATAGATATAAAACTTTTAAAGTCATGCGACTTTTAACTCTCCAAATGAAGTTACACACGGTGTCTGTGCAATATCTAGAAGGATTTTTTTTTCTAGACCTGACATGTTTTATGGATGGCTAAGGAGGAACTATATTTATCATTTATGATAACATAACTTTACCTGAATACAAACTACATTAAATATAAACTTTTTCAAATAATGAAATTATTTTAGGTCATTCCAATCATAGAGAATAAAGTTAAACTGCTTATATTATCACAATTGTTTCCATCATATATACTCTGGATCTTTTTTAATTATTTTTTCATGTCACACTTTTCAAAAAAAAAAATCCCTTTAATAATTAATTTGAATTCATTGTGATAAACATTTAGTTAATAAGAATTGATATTTGTTCTTTTTTTGCAGTGAAAATAAATATAATAAATACTCACCTTTGTTTTGTCCGTAAGTAAATGGTGAAAATGTGTACATGTAAGTGTTGATTTGGAAAAAAAGGTTGTCCACACCCTTTATTTGTCTAAACAAATGTTGCTAGGAAATTTCAAATATCCATGTTAACAAATATAAAATTGATTTTTTTCTTCAACGAACACGTGAAGCATTTTATAGTATCCAGGACATATTCTTTTCGTTTCATTATCTAACATCCTTCTTTTGAGTATATTTAATTTTCAGTGTGCTAGTGTATTATGTTTTTACAATATCATTCAAAAGTCTATACTGTGCTCCAACTTTGCAAATGAGGTATATTAAAGTGTCTAGTTAGCTCTACGCAGTTTCCAAAAATTCAGTATAGTTTGCAATATGCACAAAAATAATGTTCTCGAATCGAAAGAGATTTTTCTTCATTTAATTCACCCAAAGTTGATACATGATTGTCTTCTGTTGCATGAAACTCAATGGCCAGTGCTTGTGACTACCCGGTATTACTCAGAAGATTTGTTTTGTATTTTGTATATACATGTACGTAGAAAACATACAAGAGCATCTCTGTTGAAAAATCTATTGTACATTAATACAGATATAGGCACATTTCCTGCTATGGATATTTCTTCATTTTCTGCCTCACAAAATGCAGAGTTTTTCATGCTTATTCGAGATTTTTTTTATTCCAAATGAATGCAAAATCCCGAACGTAATTTTTTTGTATTTACGAAATGTTCTGTTCCTATTTAAGGACATTGTCACTATATTTATTATCGTGATATTAGTACTCATGTCCTCGCTTTGTTATTCTTATCTGCTATTATAATATAGTACATTCATTACCAACAGAATCTTCGACTTTCCAATATGAGCATAACCTGGTTTCCGAGTTTTTTATTGAGTATTTTTGTATTTGCAAGTGTGTACATTTATATTTTTTTTTTTCATGCTCATATTCTTTGCTTTTCAATCTTGATTTTAATTTTTACAAGAGGCAATCCAAATCACGTTTTCTCCTAATCCAACCTGACTTTAAAGGCACAATGAAGTTATTATTGTAAATAGTGTTTATATTTTAATAGCATTTCACATCATATTAAATTAAAATTAATTAAAAATCTTATTTCATATAAAAGATTAAAAATTTAAAGTTTGACACATATGCACTTTCATGAAATTAATTTTATTCTTAATCCTTAGGAAAAGTAGCGTTGTGTATAAATGAAAAATATTTTATAATCCAGAAAATTCAGATATATAAAACAAACACAATATATTGTCAGTCCGTGCAGTTGTGGTAAGCAGACTGTGACGATTCTGAATTCTAAATATAAACAATAACAGAACTCGAGCCCTGTTTACAAAAACTGTGTACATAACAAGAGTGTGCTCGATTTGCTAAACTCTGTACGCAACACGTAGTTCGGAATGACGATACTTGAGAAGGAGTTTTGCTTTCTAACATTTGTACTCGGAATAAAATATATATATATATATATACAACAAAATTGCCACTTTTCCTAAGGATTAAGAATAAGGTTAAAATTTGTGAAAGTGCAAGGATTTCAATAAACCGCCAAAAAATATTAAGTTTTAATAACTTTTAAATGAAACAAGATTTTTAATTAATTTTTGTGTGAAATGCTATTAAAATATATAAGTCGTAATATTATAGAAAAAATATTGACTTCAAATCTGTGTCCAAGTACCTTTAACCCCCGCTTTTAAAATTTGTCCGCACAAACTAATATATATGCTTATTCAAGAATTCGGATTAAATATAGGGTTAATCAGAGGCACAAGTCATAATATAAAAGCGGGGGTTAGAGTCAGAGGAATCTCGGATTAGGTTCCCCCTAATACTTATATTCATGTTAATTACAATGAATAATGAAATGTTGTACAATGCTATTAAATCATGCATAATTCTTACAAAAAATGTACAACTCTTGTGAAGTCTATAAACATTTTGGTTCCAAAACACATATATAAAGCCATCTAGTAACGTACACAGTCTTGTCTTGGTCGAAGTCATGCAGGTGCTTGAAAGTCTAGTGTAGAACGTTATCATCCCTTCCTCCTTTTCAAAATGCAAAAAAATCATAACAGTGCTAAATAAAGTTAAAACACAGTTTTAGTCTCATTCAAATTCGTCTTTAAAAAATTCACAAATCTAGAGGGGAGATCAAGGTATTAAAAATTTTGCGTCAGCTCTGACTCTATTCTTGCACAATTACTCGAATTTAGGAAAAAATATAAGCGATTTATTAAAAATGTTTAATTAAATATGAAAATTTGATTTGTCATTTCCACAGAGACCTACAATGTGGACCGTTCTAGTCTCTCTGTATCCGGGGTGTCGTCTGGAGCCATCATGGCCACACAACTTCACGTCATCTATTCCAGCAGAATCATGGGAGTTGGCATTGTAGCAGGAGGTCGGTCGTAAAATTTATGTATTTGTCAAGAAAATGAACCAGGAATCGTATAAGGCCGGAATTAAAAATATCTTTGTTTCCCCTAACCCGACCCTCAATTCTCAAGTTGGGTCGGTAGGTAGGTAAACAATTTTATTTACTGACAGCAGCTTTGAAAATACATTCTAAATTTAATGGAAAATTACCTTTATAAATAAGAAAAATGCAAAAGAAAGGGATTTGTGAACAAAATGCTAAGTATCGTACATATGCCGTTTAAAAGCAAAATTCATGATTTAGTGATTCGGAAGTGTTATTTATTGAATGAAAATACCAATTCATTTATATAAAAATGTACAATTCTTGTAAAAGTACGAGTATATTTTTTTCGAACCTTCCATAGCTTTTTTGGTCACCTTTTTTTGAGGGCCAAACACATAAAGCATTTGCTTTGGCTAAGAAGTGGCTAATTTTAAATCGCAGGTTCAAATCCCAGTGAGTAACGTTGAAAACGGCTCCGTGACCATAAAAACTTATGTCCAGTGTCGCAGAAGATGCTGGCTCAAAAAAGATCCCCCACTGCTTAATGGCAAAAAAGTGCTGAGTACGTCTAAAGGAGATGGGTGAACATGACGAGAGATAAGCCCATAGTGCGTCAAACATGAAGGTGAAAAATTAAATCTCAATTTTATCAAAATTTTCCTCAATATTTCATCTAACATTAAAAATGTATGAAAATGCTAAATAAAGTTAAAATACAGTTATTTGCCTCATTAAAAATAATACACACACGAAAAAAGGACAAAAAATTCACACTATAACTATAGGGTCTTCTCTCCATTTTTTTGAAATCCTCAAAGATTGCATGAAAACATATATATTTTGCTTTAGCCTTAAAATATAATTTTATGACATAACCATGTTTTGAAATACTTAAGTCAATGGTCATTTCACAAACATGTTTAAATAATTACTTGTGTAAGTGGTTAGCGTGCTAGAGGAATGCAACTGATTTTTATTGCCAGCGATTATTTTTTTTATATAAAAGAATAAATTTTGAAAATTTTTCCTCAAAACTCATAAAAATCAATTATGATTTTTTGATTTTTATATATTCCAGCTATTGGGAGACCTAATTTCACATCTCCTTTGGATGGGGAAATGTTTAAATATCGTCCTAAGTCTCTCTTAAAAGCAAAGAAACATCCAATCTTCAAGGGCCTAATTAAAGAAAAATGCACTGGACGTCTCAGGAAGCTGAATCATGATTTCAAAACTATTTGGAAAGAGTATGTTAACAATAATTGAACCAAACCTAATCTACAAATGATAAAAATGCTATATACAATGTCATAGTCACGAATTTTAACCACTAGATAAAGGCACGAAGAAAGGACATCTGAATTATATTTATGAGGATGAATATGCAGATATATCCTTTGGCATCAAATGTATACGCCAAGGGACTCTTAATTAGTCATGGTAAATTTTATTATCGAATTGTTTCAAGAGTATTTAGTAAAAGCATGAATTGTTTTATGAAGTCTTGAAGAGCTAATGCCCTGTAATCACATCGTATTTTGTGTGACAAATTTTCACAGTAGGATGTGTGGTTCTGATAAAAACTGATTTTGATGAAAATTGTATTTTATAAAACTTGGTTAACAATAAAAAAAGTATTTGATTTTAGTGTCGGCGCGATGTTTTTGCTCGAAACAAAGGTAATTTTTATGCCATAAATTCTATATATAGATTTTTAACACATTGTATTTTTCTGTTATTCTCTTCCATGCTACAGAAATGTTCGGTTGGTTTTCTTTCTTTTCACTACACATGCCACTATTCAATTGATTTCCTCAAGTGCCTTTTGCGTGTTCGGGTGGTACTCTGGCTGGATTGACTACGTGTATGAAGACTCCAGCACTGGAATCCGTGTACACGTTTGAAGCACTGGTCTCTTCAGGGGCACTGTTTGGTAATGTGGATGCCACGTATCATATGCGCCATGACAAAGTATTCATCTTTAACGGAATAGAAGACTCAGTTGTTCATCCAGGTATGGAAAAGAAAACAGACATGGATCGTTCTACGTCATTTCCGCTATGACTCCATTATTTTCGCTCAATCATGTACTAGCATTAACAATAACAGAGAGTTAATAATAAATAATGTTAACAACTATTATTTAAACTTAAATAAATGAACATCATGTTCACAAAAGGTAAATCTTATTTTTATAAAATTTACCAGGCAACGGTCCAAACATCGCTCGTTTTTACGAGCATTTCATCCATGATAGCCACAACATCAAAAAGGTCTTTAATTTGCACACTGAACACTGTATGGTAAGCATTCTTAATTGTTAATGTTATTTTTAATGTGTCGCTGTTGTAACTAAGATAAATTTATCATCACACAGTTCACCATCTTTCAATTTGCTTTCTCGCTTTTCGCATGTGCAAAGATCTGAAGTCGTACGCAGCTTTCACTGAAGCACTAGATGGTCAAATTGCAATTACACTTGTCATATTTGCATTTTTAAGTTTAGACTCATAAATGACTTTTCCTATACGTATCAAAAATGGTGGGAAAAATCTGACGTTTTTACACTAAGAAAAGACTTTAAATTATCATTTTTAATAGCACTGACTCCACATGGGGGCCTGAAAGGTTGTTAAATAGGTGCCTCTGAATCTCATAGTTTAAGAGCAAAGCACTCTATTCATATTTTTATCCATCGTCAATAGTTTATCAATTATATTTTTTTTTTTCATTTTATTTTCATTTGACTGTGAAGTCGCGCACTGAGATGCCCGATTTGTTTATCAAACATAATATATGTTTTGTAGCCAACAGATAACATTGGCGGCCCCTGCACAGCTCTTTCAAAAACAAACTACCTTAACAACTGTGGATACAACGGAGCGTTCGAAATCCTAAACTTTATTTACGGAGGACATCTAAGAGTGAGTAAATTTCATTGTATTTATTTTGGCATCATACGTACAATTGCTATTTTCAGAATAAGTAATTTTATATTTCAGAGGCCATCACGAAATGCGACTGCGGCTGGAATGGTAAGTATTTTTGCTGATATCATTTCATTTTCCTTCTCAGAAAATTAACGTTTTTTCCTTACAATAATTCCTTAAAATAATGTTTACCTCGAAAAAGTAGAGTACATGTAAATTTATGGTGGCATAATATATTTCAAACAATTACTTTGGGTAAGTTCATGTAAATGTAAAGCCATTTAATTGCTTCAATGACACTGTACATGCAAATTGTTCTTTCTATTGAACAGTTGAGGAAGTTTAACCAGGCTGCATTTTTTGCTGCTCCTCCAATAACCTACAGCTTAGATAACACTGGATACATTTACATCCCATCTAGGTGTCTGGACAAGTCCCACAGTCAGTTGTCATATTAATCTACATTATGAATTTAATAAATAGATGTGACCATATATGGTAGTACAAATGCTACCATATTGTACAAATGCATAAAATTTACAACATATATTGTTTGCTATCATATACTGTAGAATTTGAAGAGGGAGAGGCTTTTGTATGATTGTAGTACTGAAAAACCCTTTTACATCAAAATACTTGAATATCCTCTTTTAACAATTTTGTAGTAACTGTAAGAGCTGAATGTCATGTTCCTTTAATTAGAAATTTGCATATTTTTATGTGTCCGTTTATATACCTTGTAGCGGGTTATCTTGGCGGGTGCAAAATCTGGCGTTTTGCCACCTGAAAGGTATGCCAATAATTTTGGCGTAACTTATTTTAGCGGATACAGGGTTTTAACTCATTGCAGATGAACACAAAGAAGAGAACTGAATATTTTATCGTGTACAATTTTAGTGGACTATTATTAAAACGCAAAATAAGCCAAATTCAGCACCCCGCTACAATAACCCATTATACGGTATCTGTATGAAACCTTCAAGCATCTTTTTCAGAATGTAAACTCCACGTGGCTTTACATGGCTGTAAAATGGGCAGGTATAAATATTCAATTAAAATTCTGATCATGTACAATGTATGTAGCAGGTAGATTATTAATGGCCAATGCATTGATATTTATTCAAAGACATGCCAATGGATGCATATTTATCTATTAAAATTTAGGTGAAAATGACTGCCCTATTGAAGCTTCTCTTTTGTTTGTCAGACATTACATCAATGAGGACTACGTAACACATGGGGGTTATAACGAGGTGGGGGAGCTAAATGACATCATTATCCTGTACCCCCAGGTCACCCCCACCACCCTCAACCCCTACGGCTGCTGGGACGGTTACGGATACACAGGGGCATTGTTTGGTAATTATAAGCCTATTTTTCAGAATTTTATTTTTATTTTATTTTTATATTTTTATGAATTTTACAACTTACGTGACAATAAGGGTTTCCAAAAGTACAAAATATTCAGAAAAACAAATTTTTAACATGGCTCTTAAAATATTTAAATACTCTTTTAATAAAATTAATTATGATTGGTTTCTTAATATTTCAGCGACTAACAAGGGATTCCAGGAGGAGGGCCTCAGACGTATGATGAAGCAGGTCATGGGGGGATGGTGAGAGTCAGCTGACAGTTATACAGGATTGTCTACACAGGGGATAATTTTCCTTTTACAGATTAATTTCATTTTATACAGACATCAGATGTAGCTTGGACCTTTGGTTATTATTATTTGGTTGTAACACATCATTAGATAAAAGATTTAGTTTATATATAGTATAACATAAGTTGTTTATGTCACAGTGACTTATGTCAAGATCATATCATTCAGATAGACATTACTTATGCTCAATTTGAAGTCATTTTTGAAGGAAAATTGCCTTATTGTCTACACTTAATGATGGGAATTAAATTATAAGAAATGAATTTAATAGCTGCCCAAGTTAATATACATTAATGTACTGTATAACCTGGGTTAGAACAATTTACCACTTTTTCATAAACTGCATAAAGCGTAAAATTCCCAAGATACTGTCCCAGGTTACGCAGTATAACTTGGGTAGATATTAAGTTCATTCCTTAAATATCTATTTTCTTCAAGATGTTCAAATTAAGATGATAGAAAAAGCAAATAACATAGGCCCTCAGCATTCAGTCAGACAAATTTGCTTCTTAGCAAAAGAAATTGCACAAAACATGTACAGTTTGTATCATTAAAACTGGGGGGCAAATGGGTTGCAAGAATTTCTATTAATGTGAATAGTAACTATCTTAAATGTGTGCTTCTGGACCCTTACGATAATTAAACATGTATTCTCCAAAACATGTTTAGCTGTATTAAGTACTTTCTATTATTAATGCTTTCTATTAAGAATCCTTTGGGGGAAAATGTTCTAATTGATTGTTTATAACAAATATAAATCTGTTTAACATATAATATATATTTGAGCATTCTCATTAACAATAAACTCCATTTAGATGACAATTAATAGCACTGTTGGAAATACATGTCATTTTTACCTTAAAATGATTTAGCTAAATATAAGATAGCAATTATTGATTAACTTTGAACAAAACAAATTCACTAACAAACATCACGCTGCTGCACAATTACATGTATGACACTCAGAAGTCCCATTCACCTAGAATTCCCATTCACCAACCAAATTCACTTGCTCCATGTCTTCAACCATAGAATCTACTGCTTCATCTGCAACAAAAAGGGGTCATCTATGAATTAGGTTTTTAAAAATACACATACATGTAACTGACAAATTCAAATGCACGCCTGTAAGTCTGGAGTTCTACACACATCCACACACTCATCCACCCCAAACTTCACTTTGATCTCAGAAGTTCAATCTTAATTATTTTTATTTTAAATGGAAAAATAATAGTGTTTGCAGAATTGCTGATTTGTGCTAACCCTCTGTAATGTTGTCTAAAGCCAGTTTGATAGGAGTCAGGGGTGTTAGTTATTCTGATCTACTTACCCTCTTTATCACTGGTCAGGTTAGCCAGTTTGATAGGAGTTAAGGGCTGTAAGAGGTTGGGCAGGGCTTCTGTTGATCTCCTCTTCAATTGTTTAAACATGGAGTCAGTCAGGAGACTTTCAGCTGTAGGTCTGTTTAATTAAAAAAAAGGTCACCTACATATAGATATATGTATTACATATACAGACAACTACAGTGGTGTTTGTCCTATTTTCTGTTAGAGTTAATCTATTTAAGCTTTGTCCTACTGCACTATAAATATTTAAGTTTATTCAACAAGCAACAGGTAGGCCTGTACTCCATTAATGAATTCCAGTTATTCATAATCATGAATGATACATAAAGAATCATCAAGGGGCAAAGGCTATGTAAATTTCTTCAATCAAATATTCTGTGGTTGAAGTGTTACTGTTGGGAATTTTTCTTACCGACAATGGGGATTTTTCTCTAAGCACCTGTCCAACAAATTGTGAAAATGGGACGAGAACTTGCGAGCCTTTGCAATGGCCACAATATCAATTCCTCCATTCTCCATGTTTTCATTGTGTTGAGCTAAATAAATTAAAAAATAGTATAAATTTCAGATTTTGGATTCTCTTCATATATATGCAGACTTTACTTATATTTCTCTAAGCCAGCAGAATAAAAAAAAATTGGTTATGATACAATCTTCATGTAAAGTTATTCTTTGTACAAGAAGTTGTAGAAATCCAACTGAAATTAATTTGACACTCAAACTGACCAGTTTCATTTGTATTGAGATCTTTGCGAGAAGATTAAAGAATTTTCATTGAATAAATTGGGAAATTAAACGGAAATAATTAAGGACTTGGAGGGTTACAGCATTACTATCTGACCTTCCTCCTCCCCTGTCAGCTCCCCTATCGTGGTACAGTCCGGTAACATGGGCTTTGTTCCGTTCACCTTCTCCAACAACATCTGTAAATAATATCATATATCAAAAGGTCTTATAATCAGAGTATTTCCCCTTCATCTCAAGATTTATTTTTCAACTAATATAACAGGACAGTGCTTAGAGACTGAATCATGCATCTGGAAGTCTTTAGTTAATTATTTCAAGTTGGTGTCCAGTGGGAGATTTTGGAAGGATGCACCTGGGACCACCCCCTAAAATGCTCCTTAACTGATTCAAGTTAAAAAAAATGCTTTAAAAAGGATTGTCTTTGAACAAATTTTATAGCTATTAACTAAATATCAAAATCCATAAAAACACTCAAAATTTTCTCCTCTTTTACAGTCTGAATATCCTCTTTAGATGAATAAACTAATTTTCATTTAAAAAGGAATTTTCTTCATATTTACCTGAGTAACAGGCATATCCTCAAAAGGGGGATAACCATTGGCCAGTTCCCAGCTGGTGATCCCAAAGCTGTATATGTCAGATTTTGTATCATATCCTGACAAATTCTACAAGGGTAAGAACACATATAGCTAAATGAAGACTAAGCATTAATTTGTATACCAAAGTTCATTATAAATTTATGTCAATTGAATAAATATACAAAACTTGTTATGTTATCTAATACTCATCAATGGGAAAATATTTTCTACATAAAGCTGAATATTTACTCAATGTCTAAATTATCTCCCTTTCATAGAACATATTGGTCCTGAACTTGTTAATTTAAAAATCATACTCTTTTACAAAGAACAATTTATGGCAAAATTGGTTCAATGTTTCTATGACAAAGGATGAATATGTAAAAGATAATTACATTTAACAATCTACAGATAGTCAGAATAATAATAAGGTACTAGACACATATTCCCACATATTCCTCTGGCCCAGGTATGCTAAAATTAAAATCACGTTTTTCTTCAAATTTTACCTGTTCTAGAATTTCTGGACTGAGCCATTGTAGATCACCATTACAGGCATTAGGGTAATCGTAGACACGAGACCATTTCTTGCCATGGTAAATCAGATGATAGGCACTGCGTAGTCCTGATAAACACACGTTACCACTGCCCCCTATCAGAATATGACTAGCTCTTACACTCCTGAAAACAGGTAAAAGAAAGATCAAAATTAGAAAAACATTTCCATTTTTGGTTCTCAGAGTAATGACAAATGACTTAAAATCTGTGGTAAAGAACCAGTACGTTAGACTGTAGTACCTGATACATGGGCAAGTTAATAAATGCGAAATACGAGTATATTAAGCAAATAACACAATTTTGTTTATGAGATAACAACAGTGAATCAAATAAATACTTCTAAAAGAAACATGATGATTCATTAAAATCAAAAATAAAACCATTTCATTATAAGGTACCTGTGGATTATCCCTCGATTATGAAGATAGTCTAAAGCGCTCACTACATCTCTCAGTATGTAGGCAATGGCTGCCTCAGGTAAACCTGTCTTAAAGTAAGCATGCAGGACATCTCTAGCTGACCCTGTCAAAAAACAGTTAGACTTAATCTGAACATCTCAATTAAATCAATCTCATATAACTCACAATTATAACATGCAATTTTTGTAGTCCAAAATTTTCATGAAATGTTATATTGTTCAAATATTTATTCTGGCAGAGAAATTAGGAGACTGGAACTTTTGCTACCTACAGGTTTTAATTTGATCTACATATAATGAAATAGTTTTTGATCATCATACATATTAAATTGTAGCTGCAGAACTGTAGCTCTCCGAAATAAATATTTTGACAGACTGGAGAGCTACAGTGCCACCCATTGAAAAAACTGTATATCTATTGTGCACAAAAAAGTGCGCTGTTTCTCGATTTCTTTCTCCACTTTTTAAAAACTGTCATCTCAAAATATTACCAGGTAATAACCGTGTGTTCCTAACACATTCTTTCACTGTTCCCATAACAAAAAATTTCCTTTAATTGTTGTTAATAGCTCTCCAGAAATTGAGTTCATTGAAAATTTCTTCTTTTTATACCGCCATTTTGGTTTGCAAGATAATTCGATCCAACGCACTTCGTGCAGATGTCAACTACCAGAGTACTTGATAGACGAGTAAGACATTTCATGAAATCTAGCTTTTTTGCAATTTAGGTAAGAATTTGGAAGTATTAATCCAGAACCAAGCGCAAATTTTTGTGCACAATAAATATACAGTTTTTTCAATGGGTGGCACAGCTCAAACAAAATGTCAATATATTACATTTAATGAAATAGTTTTTGATCATTGTAAATATTAAATTGCAGAAGAAGGTGCAGCTCTATATAAATAAAACTCCATAGGGTATAGTTTAATTAGTCCTCTCTAAATAGCTTTCTTACCATATCCCAGTAGAGGTAAAACAATCCACAGTTCTTTATCATTAACAAATGTACAGTGGTATTTCACTATGTTATCATGGTGCATCTGTCTACACAGAATCACTTCATCCTGAAAAAGAGAAACAGCATTGAATCAACATGAAAAAACACTGCCAGAATCATATTGAATATTTATCAGATTGAAATTTTTTTCACCCCTTTAGGCCATGTTTAAATAATTGTTTGGTTGCCTTCTCCTGACCAACTGGCTAAAAATGGCATAACTCAAAACTTTTTTTGGCCTCCAAAATGCAATTATTTTTTATAGGTACTCTAGAAAATATAGTTTTACAAATTAGCATTAAAATTGAAATTTTTGAGAAGAAATCATTTTCTCTCCTACCTACCGACCCAATATTTTCAGAGTAGGGAGAGGGCAACCAAACATTCTTTTAAACTTGGCCTTACCTGAAAAACTTTGAATTCCACAGGACTCCCTTCAATATCAATCCGTTTGATGGCCACACTTTTCCCGCTAGGGATGTGTTGGGCAAGATGGACTGTTATAGAGCCAAATGTTCCTCTACCTGTTTTCATAGAAATAATGTTAACAAACACACAGTCAAACCTTGTTATTTGATCTCCAGGAAACTGAAAGAAATACTTTTAAATATCTCAAGATTCATTTTGAGATATTGAGGTGAAAATCCCTACAGAAAAAATGGTTGAAAATCAACATATCCATGATATTAAAGATGCTACCATTCCAGATATATGTACCAAAGTACATGTACCAGTAAAATTTGTATTAAAGCTCATTTCATAAATCTTTATGCATTCTTTTAATATGCTCAATAAAGTTAAGAGACCCACCTATGACATTATGGAGTTGGTACTGTGAGACATCTGGTTGCCATGTTATTGGATTTCGTAGGTTATCACTATCCTGACTACCAAAGCTTTGTGAGCCGTGCTTTGATGCCTGGAAAAAAAGTATGCATGCTTATAAAATTTGGACCAGTTTTAGCTCTTCATCACCTTAAAAGATGAAATAAACATAAGGAAAACCCCAAACAGAATGTACAATGTATTAAAACTTTCCTTCAATTTTGTGATTTTTTTTACCAAGATGTTATTCTTATAAAAAAAATATTTTCAACAGTATTCTGAGAATTTGTTAGAAAATCTGATATGAAATCATCTTATAAACTCTGATTGGCTTGAACAAGTAAATGAATGAAAAAGTGCAAAATATTTTTTACTTTAGGGAAGACACAAGTGTACTTGTCTATGAAAAGAACAAAATGATAATTTTCAAAAAGTAAAATTGTTCCTCAAGCAATAAAAGGAAACAAATAAATTTTCCAAATGAAAAAAAAAATTAACAGAACTGTTGGCAGGGATTTTATAAAAAGATAGTAAGTCTCTTTTCATAAAAACACATATTGGAAATAAAAGTAGAACTGAAATGATATGCTTACCATTATGAAATTTGAGAGCCTGATCAAAATTCAAACAACAATTTAAAAATAAATCCTTACTGGACTAAATTTAAAAAAAATATTTAAAAATGTCAGCTTCAACACCTACAGTTCTACCACCATATAATCAGTTAACAAAGAAAGCAAAATCAACCTCAGCGAAAACAAAGTAAAAAGAAACCTCATGTAACATGTGTAATGTTCTATCAGTTAATGTAAAAGAGTTCTAACAGTTGTATTGGTGTATTTATCAAAATGACACTATGACTAATACTAAAACAATTTTTAACTACATTCTCTAATAAGTACATGTACTGAGGATATAAAATACCAAAGGAACTGAGTTTGAGTTCAATAACTTGATCCTTAACTGCTTCTAATATGATTCTTCCTCAGAAATTACTAAATATACTTTTTAAACAGAAAATTCACAAGAGCATGAAGAAGAGAAATAAAGAGCCTTTGAAGATTCAGCACTTGTATGATGAGATTGGGAAAATGACTTAATGATTGCTAATCAATCATACTGTTTGATGAAGAGAATAAAATGCAGTAATTTTGCAGCAGAAATAAGGAGTTCCCCCCCCCCTTACTGGAGTCCATGATACCTAATAAAATGACCAACACATGAATTAGTTGAGGGACAACAGAAGCTTTGATAGAGATTGTATACCTAATTTATTGACAATCACATTTTCCAGAAAGCAAAGAGATTCCCTTGCTATAAAATAGAAATATACATACAGCTGACAAATACAGGTGCCATGTAAGCAATATCCTCAAGAACAGACAGAGAGACAAACATTTTCTGATATATACAAAGTGAATACCACTTGTAACCATGATGAGAAAATGAAAACAAGAGGCTCACGGGCCACTTTGCTCACCTGAGCACTGTGGCTAGCATAAAAGCAGAAATTAGTTTATTATTGAAAAGTTTAAACCCAAAAGTAGTCCCAACCATTCCTTAAAGGAGAGATGGTATGATTTGCACAAACTTGAATCTACACTACCTGAGGATGCTTCCATATAAATATGACCATGTTATTCTTCAGAAGATTATTTTTAAAGAATTTTCCTATGTAATTCTATGTAAAACTTTGGTTGGCCATTGTGGCCCCGCCCTACCCCCGGGGGTCATGATTGGATCAAACTTGAATCTACACTACCTGAGGATGCTTCCATATAAATATGACCAATCATGGCTTTGTTATTCTTGAGAAGAAGATTTTTAAAGAATTTTCCCATATATTTCAATGTAAAACTTTGGTTGGCCATTGTGGCCCCGCCCAAACCCCGGGGGTCATGATTTGAACAAAATTGATTCTACACTACCTGAGGATGCTTTCATATAAATATGTCCAATCATGGCTTTGTTATTCTTGAGAAGAAGATTTTTAAAGAATTTTCCTACAAATTTGAATCTACACTACCTGAGGATGATTACACATGAGTTTCATCTTTCCTGGCCCAGTGGTTCTTGAGAAGAAGATTTTTTAAAAATGCCATTATTTTTTCACTAATTCATAATTATCTCCCCTTGGAAGAGGGCCTGGCCCTTCATTTGAACAAACTTGAATTCCCTTCACCCAAGGATACTTTGTGCCAAGTTTGGTTGAAATTGGTCCAGTGGTTCTTGAGAAGAAGATGAAAATGTGAAAAGTTTACAGACAGACGGACAGACGGACGCCGGACAAAATGTGATCAGAAAAGCTCACTTGAGCTTTCAGCTCAGGTGAGCTAAAAAAAAAATTATACAGAAAATAAAATAACCTATAGTTAAGAGTGAATATAACTATCTGATAAGACACAACAAGCATTAGGACAAAACATGAAAGTTAAATGTGACTGAATTTACAAACATAGATTGATTAAGGCTACTGTTAAGAAGAGTGAGACATTAGCACATGTTGACAATATTACTACGAAACCATGCATTACTTATCCTGATATTACCTTATGCATGTTCACCCTTTACTAAGGGATGTTTTTTTTTTTTTGATAAATATATTAGCAGATTATCTGAAATATTAACAAATTATTAATAAATTGAAATACAAGTATTAAATGATATGTCTATTTTGTTAGACTCTGGAACAGATATAGAGAGATTGAAAATATGCATAGGAAATAACACAGTTAATTTTTTAGCACACACCATGAATTTTTAAAAAAAAGTCATGAAAAGCAAATAACAATAAATTGAATAAAGATTAGGCATATTAACAAACTTTCAGACAAAAATTTTAAACATTCTTATAAGGAGATGATTTATTTGTTATTTTTGAAATTTGAAGATTTTTGGAAGGATTTACACTGATTATAAACAAGTTTTGAAAAAATTGTAAATGCAAGTTGGTGTCACTGGTAGAACATATTCTTATTTATTAAATAAGTATAATTTTTGCAGGAAGCAACCATTATTTTAGGTAAAAATAATCCTTCAACTGTTATTTGTAAATTCTGAAGTTATGATAATTAAAGTGGATTAATCATGATTATCATCTCAAATATGTTATTAGCAAGATGATTTATTTTTATAAATGTTTACAATGAAAACTTACCACATTCATTGGTTTGTAATAAGGAGCATTTCCACCTGATTCAAGTGTCCGAGACTTAGTACAAGAGGCACAGTTCTGCAAAATGAAAAGACATTTTGTTAATGTCATTTAATTTCATTACCATTATGATATCTTTGCTTATTTACTATTTCAATAAAAAAGAATTCATTTTCTGAATCAGCTTATGTTATTTAATGCAACTTACAAATACAATATGTCAGGGGTTCTAAATCTATGTGTGGCCAAAGCCAAAGGGACCCCAGACAATCTGCATCTGATTTCATTTGAGTGGTTTCTATATGTGAGAAACATCAATCAAATTTCTTGTTTGTTTTTTTAATGACTTAAAAAATGTCTGTCATTATTAACAAGCTTCATTATAAATATCTCTGTTTATTTACCATTCTGACAAAGGCTCGATTTTCAATTTTTATTTCAAAGTTATACACTGTATCAAAATTAAAGTGTAATCAACTTTTACCATCAATACACAAATGGAATACAGTAAAACTCAGTTATAACGAAGTCATTGGGACCTATGAAATTACTTCACTTTATCCGTAATTCATTATATCCGTATAAAAAATTCGTTAAATTTATATAGTTGGGGATCCAAGATAACTTCGCTATATCTGGGAATTCGCAATATCCGTGTTCGTACTAACCGAGATTTACTGTATATGTTAAATGACTAATACTTCTCTGCAACTGTAACCTACCAGTGACATTAGGGATCAGCACATTATAACACCTGTAATGACAGAAGTCTATATTTAGAACAAGTACAGTCAAATCTCACTAATCAGGAAACAATAATGGGGATGCTTCTCCTTCTGTACAAAATTTGTGGGAAACAAGTTGACTTTAACAGACAATCATACAAGGTACTTCTCTGTAACGTGGATCATGATGCATCACTAACCCAGAAGACAATGAATATTGGGAACAAAACCATGCAGATAAACAAGTGCACAGTTTATATTACCAATGTATGACTTGGAAAATTTCTGAAAACTGTTAGATATTTAAGACATTGTTAGTCCAAAGTTTTGTAATCAAATATAAATGCTTTAGATTTATCATTCAAACTGTGAATCATCTGGTCATTTTGTATGAGATGTCCAAACAATTGATAATTGCTCAAATTATCTATTCCTGTCGAACTTACACTTAGTTACAATTTTCAAGAGATTTGGACAACAAACCAAAATTAAACTCACCATTCAGGTTCAAATGTATTTGGAGCTTCTTTCCTATCTTTTATTCCCTTCAGTGCAAATTTATTTTGTCTGTAATTAGTCTAAATTACACTAATAGTTGCTCGTAAATAATGTTGTGACTATAGTCAGAATTTTCTCTGCATGCTTTTCTAACTTCTTTCAGCCAAAGAGTTAAGTTGGTAATGCATACGTAAACATTTCGGATTTTCAAAAAGTTGCGCTTCTTTTCCTTCACAAGCCAGTATCAGTTTCGAAACTTTTAATATAATGGAAAAAATTATCTGACAGAGAGACACTTGGTATGAAACTTTTAAAAGATTGATATAAAAAAAATATGTCCAAACTCAAAAATAAAAGTCATGAAGGGGAGGGGCGTGGGTGTGTGGACCTTTCTGTAGACACTTTTTTAGGATCGTAGATTTGCCTCTTTTGAAACTGTTGACACTTTTTTGTAAATACTATTAACAATAGACTATAGTAAAAAAGTGAACGCATCTTCCAGCTCTGAGTGGCGTTGTTCAAAGACAACTTTTCGGTATAGATCGATTGGTAATCGATTAATTGCAAGCTACGGGTTTCAGTTGTATTCAATCTATTTCTACAAAAGTTTGTGGAAATAGAAATGACACAAAACCAGTGGCTTACGACGATGGGTATATATAATTAAATATCAATTACAGTTCTTTTTAATTTAGGACATTTAGGTATTAAATTGTTAGGCTATTAAAAGTTTCTTTCTTTATTCTACTTCTTGAAATTATTATGACCTTTTCTCAATTTTATATATGCTTATGCCATACGTTTTCGAGGTCTCGGGATTTCCAGATAAAATTAAAAGTTATCGGAAGGAAAACATTGTATGTCGCGATTGTTTTGCTGGCAATAACTTGTCTTCATCTTGATCAGCTACAGTCATCCTGTCACACTTGAAGCGTTGCTGATTCTGCATTCAACAATTTACAAGAAGATTATGCAGGAAAAAATGATAAAGCACCATTAACTGGGGATTTTTAGCATATGTATACTGCACACGAAAGAAGATTGATATCGAAAATGACTTTTGCCATTTAAATCACAGCAGAACATCCTAGATCAATACGACTTTAGATTATTGAATTGCAGTACGACTTGAAGCGGAAAATAATGAATAGGGTGCATGTATTTCCCTAAAATCAAACTTCTGATTCAAAGAAGCATGTGATAAAACTATTCAAGTAAACGTTTGAAGGATATTTAAGTTCAGAACAACTTGAACATGGCATTTAAACCTTCATATGTAAACAAAACCAAAGATTGTATATTTAGGTTTTTATAGACAAAGCAAGTCGAAACACCTCTGAAAATCAAACCGCCGAGCTATATAATAAGGCACGTTTTGCCCTAATTAAACAAAAGAAAACAATGAATGACGAGGGACTTTAATTATTAATTTATAATTCAGCAAATATGGATACTCTTTATTGCATTGGAGTTTATAAACTCGGAGAAAGCAATGCAGCAAGGATTTTTATTTTCCGTATGTGGATCGGCTACGGTTTCGATGCTGCTGAGATCGCCATGGCCTGGATTAACACGGGTTTCAGCTTCATGAGTGACCATTGGAGAAATGTGTTTTTGGCCTATTTGGCTTTGATTTTTGTAGCAGCTTTAGTTTTGACAGCTCTGATCTCACGATACGAAAGCAAAGCAGATCGAGTGGTGTATTTAATAGGATACTTCAAAATGACGGCTACTGTCACAGCTTGTTTTATTTTCTTTCAATTATATTTTCAAGACAAGAGGGATCCTTTGACGTTATTTCTGATGGTGGTCACGGGTGCCGATATTGGAATGAACTTCATAGAAATGGCTGCTGGATTTGCTGGTTTAGATCAGAATCGAATTGCTCCTATTATAGGGTCTGATACATCGAGGTGAAGTTTTCTTCAACCTTGGAATTTTTTAGTGCCAAACAGAAATTAATTCTTATTTTTTAAATAATTTTTTGCGATATTTCATTTTTTCTACATTCAAAGCTACGCAATGGATTTTCTGCATGGACAGGAACTCGGAAAAGAAAAATAGTCCACAAATAATCAAATACGTACTTTATATACTGCGTGTATTGATTAATCTAGATACACAAATATTTAATGTATACATGTATTTTACAGGAATAAAATGTAACTTTAAAAGAAAGGTAAACAAAATTGTTATGTTTTCCAATTTCCATGAAATATACACTTCTGTTAAGTTTATGGCTCATAATAAAGATAAGAAATCTAAATCCTTGGTAAACGTATTGAATTTCATTTAAAACTGACAGTGTTTCCCATATATTTGGATAAGAGTGGTATATTATGTAAATGTTTCCTTTTAAATTCTCGGTAGTTTATGATCCAATTTTACCTGGAATTTACAGTTCTGACAACAACCTTGAATCCTTATAAGATTTCAGATAAAACATTTCAAATAAAATTTGTCTGTCTTTTAATTTCACTTAAGTGAACATATTTCTGAACCAGATTGAGAAAAATAATGTCAATTTTACTGCTTGGAAATTATAATTAACTACAAAGGTTGATGAACATTTTTTATAACAAAAATAAAATCACTTTCTGATTTTGTACACCATTCTACCTTAAAATAAACAATGTCATATTCTGTAAAAATATTTTAAAATTGGGTAGGAAACACTGCCTAAAACCACTCTTTTCATGCACAATTCCACCTTATAGCCACCTTCAACTTTCTCCCTTGGTTCGTTGCTATCCCGTTTGGAATGTTCAAACAATCAATCATGGTTGCTGCACTCGGATATTTTTGAATGGTCATTTTGTTGTTAGGTTAGTTTACACAGCAGTTGTTTGCTAAGCTCAACCTATCAATCTGATTAAATACCCCAGAGTGTTGCAGATATGTTACATAACTACAGGTGAACATACCTGTACTAGATTCTGGAACCAATGCAATGACTGATTGATTTGATTCCAATTAAATACGAACGCATTTCTGAAGGTATTTTAATGCATATAACTTGCAAGAAAAAAAAGTACATTTGCTAGTAAATTAAAATTCATCACATTCTATATTTATTGCTTTAAGGAAGCTTGAGTCATTGCAGGCAACGTGGAATATTGGCCCAGTGGTCAAAGATATTTGGCCCATACCTGCTTACCTTTCTTCACATAAATCTTAGACCATGAAGGAGTAAATTGCATACAGTATGTTCTCAACATTAAGTATAAAACAAATAACAATTTCATTTCTTATCTGTTTTAAACTGACAGAGATTTTTTTCCCAAATTGGATAAAATATGGCAAGTACAATATGCAGGAACTCTATGTTGAAAATGAACTTCAAGCAGATGAACCTCAATGTGTACATCTTTCAATGATTTAATTTTCTCAAAATCCAAAACACATTTTTCATTAGAGTGTAGACAATTCTTTAAATGCAACATTTACTTTAACAGAAATACTCTAAAGTAATGATTCATAAATTATTTATTGTATTCTGAATGTTGTATAAATGTCAAATCTGCAATTCATTGACAAAAACAATACAGCACAACTTCAGTTTGTCAATGAAACAACAGCTAAAAAATCAATATTACTGATAATTAATACTTGAAATCAATGTAAGGAACAATATTTCAACAAGAGACTGATACACTTAACTCCTTTTCCTTGATATTCAGTTCAGTGGCAAAAAACCATAAATTAGCTCCGTTTTCCATGTGTTATGATCAAGCTTAAGTGCACATGCTGCCTCCTCTCAGTCTACACCATTGAACACGACTTTTCAATGATTTCACATCACCCCATGCCTACCCCTGTCTTTTTTCGGTACTTTGCCATTTTGACAGGACGGAGGTACGGATTGTCTATAGCCTCTGGGTCAGGGGTATCCCCCTCCTGTTCTGTTGTTTCCCCCTCTTTGGCCCCTCCCTGTGAGGACTTTAATGAGGAGCTCTCTTTGGGGGTCGGAGTGTCCTCTTCCTGGGCCAATAGGTCTTGGTCTTTAGGGAGGAGAGCATTGAGGTACGGTAAAGGGTGAGGTTTGATGGCTATTACTAATAATGAAAAGTTGAAGGTACATGTCAATTATATCAATAGAGCAAAGTTAAAGAAAATAACTATTTCAAGCTCAATAATATCAAATAATCATTTGAAGAAATACTGCAAATGTACAGGTAATTATTTAAGCAGAGGACAAGGTAATATTTTTGAGGTTAAAATCAATAAAATGCTGTCTTTAGAGCAAAAATTCTTAATGACTATCATTCGTGATCTACAGATAACATCAAAATAATATCTAAAGTATGTCTACCAGCTATCTACATTTGTTCTTTAATTTGTGACATTTATTGTGATTATAGTTTCTGAAATCTTAGAATCTTTTGAAGGATTCTGCATCAGAAAACTATCTTGAAACAGCTCAATTCAAATATTTGCTAAAATAATAAAAAAATCAATAATTTTCAATTTCTTACATGGGAATAGATTGGCATCATCCCTAATAAGAGACTGTGTCTCGCCGGTCTTGGCAATGAAGCGCGTCAATGCTCGCTCTACGTCACGCTTCTGTGAAGCTGCTTTCTCCCTAATTATCTGATATTCATTCACTGGAGGCTTTTGTGTCTGAAATTCATACAGAAAATATTAAGATAAAGACTACTAAATAATAAAAGATCATTTGTATGGTATTTTATATGTTTTATGATGTGAAGTTCTTCCTTGTTACCATATACAAAGTTATTTTTGCCCTGTGATAGTTTCAACCTTTCACTCTTGCAACAATATAGCCCTGATTTGAATTCATCCAAACACAGTTGTGTTCAAAAGATAATGCTAGCTGTTTTGAAGTTTTCTTTAAATGTTTTCATTTAAATTTGCCCACTTGCAACAAGAGTGAAAGGGGCAAAAATGAACCTTCATATGGCTAAGTTTTCTTACTAGATTTATGCAATGCTTGTAAATTCTCTCATATTATGAGACTTTTAAAAGAACACTATAAATGTGTTCATGTCAAAAAATCTAAACTTTTATTTTAAATCTATCTATAATTGTCCTTTAACTTTACCAGAGTCCTGATGTAGGTATGAGGATCAGGAAAGGCAGGCATGTGCTCTGGGATATGGGAGGGGTGTGGCATCTTGTCCCCAGCTTGAAGAGTTCTAGGGTTGGGGGTAGGAGTACTGTGGGCAGCTAGTGAAGAAGAAAAAATAAAAATTTCTCAATGTAAATTTACATTTACAATAGTTCTTTTAAAACACAGACATTAATTTTTATGGATTAATGTAAATTACACAAAACTGAAAGCATACATTTATTTCATTTAACAAGAAGAAGGCAGATTTAAATATAGAAACTTTTCTTCTATGATCTTTCTATAAAAATCTGTTTTTACTTACGAGGTAGAAACACAGATTTATTGGCTCTTTTGGCATGAGCTGGTAAGCTACTGAGATTCTGACCTGAAGAAAATAATGCATAATTTCAATAGTCACTAATTGTACATGTATAGCATATTAAAGACAGACAACAGATAAATTTATATCATTTTCCATATAATTTTTATTGACTCACATTAAGTAATTTATTAATATTATTGCAATAATAAGTCACTCACCCATTTCCATCAGAGCCATGACAACATCTGTCATCATTCCCTCTGTCCTGCCTGCCAACTCAGCAAATGCCTGGGAACTACGCCCAACTTCTGTTATAACTAAATATCAAGGTTTAATATCTAAGAAATTGAATGTCGATCAAACCCATGTCAAACTAAAACATTGAGCAAAGTGTGTGTTACAATTTAATCACCTAAGGTTCTATCTAGAATTTACAACAATCTACAAATTTGTATACATTTTATTACAGTTTTAATATAGTACAATGTATCTGATTTACAGAACCATTGACAAACTCAAAGGTTTATTTGTACAAGCTTTAAGATCTTTTTTCATTTAATATAGTACAATGTATCTGATTTACAGAACCATTGTCAAACTCAAAGGTTTATTTATACAAGCTTTAAGATCTTTTTTCATTTCTGTTAAAAAATCCATCATATTACATAACACTCAAGGCAAAACAAGGGTAGACTACCGATCCCCAGATCTGCAAGATTCTGATGCTCGTTGGACTATGATGTAACATTTACGCCACCCAACTGATGAGGGTTAGTCTTGCACACTATTCAACTGATAGTGATTAGGGTTAGTCTTGCATCCACCTGAGAGATTAGGATTAGTCCTTGCACAGTGACACTATTTGACTGACTGGGGTTGGTGAAGCATCAACCCGGAAGATTTCAGCTAAACATCTTAGTCCTTGCATACCATCCAAGAGATTAGAGTTAGTGACTCATTCTCTTAGATAAATTAAGAAATTTGGTTGCTTCTGTAATTTTTGCAAGGTCATAAATCAGCTTCAACACCATTTCTTTGGTTTAGTTACATGGAAGAATGGCCAAGTCCAAAAGAAATGACACTTAGCATGCACCGCAAGCCCTTCGTTGACAATTATTTTTTTGTCTATTTTTTCAATGAATAAACAATATCTATTCATTTCTTCAGAGAACGAGGTTAAAAATTTCGTTTAAAAACAAAGTTGGAAACTCAACTTTTAAATTTTTTTTTGATTGCTCATATATAATGAAGTCGACTTCCGCGATACTACATTTTTTAGCGCATTTTTTTGGGGACCGGTAAAGAAAAGTGATTTAACAGTCATGGACTCAGGAGGAGGGGGGGTTGTTGAGGGTGAAGGAATGAAAGGGGAGGGTATGGGAGGGGTTGTTCCCCTCACCCCTGTATTATGGGTGTTTACTGAGAATTTTTTTTGTAAAATGGCTCCAAATGGTGCATTGTCCAGCATTTTACATCAAAGTTGTTTATTTCTTTCTTGTTTTGACATGGCTTTCATGGACATATATATCTTTTTTTAACCTATCAAATAGGTATACTTATAACCCAGGACTCAAGTATCTGTGGTAAATCCAGATGTGTATTGTTCAAATAAAATGAAATACGGGTATAGGCAACTTTCTTTTGTGTAAAATCGCACATTCAAATAAACTTAATTTCAAGATATCTTTGAATAAAACATAAATTACTTACTAAATGAAAAAATGCAACAGATTACTGATTACTTACAACTTTGAAGCATTTCTGTCAGCGTCTCAACGGCAGCTTCCTCTGCTCTCTCGAAACCCATCTCAGATGCCAAGGCACTGACTGCTACCTTTAAGGCCTTTCTACATGATTCTGCTCGTGCATCAGACTCCAAAGACATTGTCAAAAGGTAGATGTTACAATTCAATATTTTTTTCCCTCAGGACGCCGCCATCTTTAATTCTGTTAGAATAAAATACCGATCCCGATGCTTATTAAAAATAAAACATTATATTTCATTTTCAGATGAAATAGACTATTATTATAATATAGATAAAGATTTTTTACTGGCTTATGAATTTAATAGCAAAATAAAACAGTTTTACTAAAATAATGACAACTAATAGGTTTTCAATAAATATAATAATGTATTCTTCGTAACAGAGACATTGCGCGGGAAAATGAAAACGAGAAAAGTGGACGTCTCTGCTGCCAGTTAATATCACAGGAAACTGCCGATCCCTGTTGTTAATATGTAAATATTTCAGTCACATATAACAGACCTTTTAATACCTTTTGTGAAATATTTTCCAAATGTATCTATTACAGCTTACATATTTTGGAAAGTTCTCAACATATTTCAAAGTTTCTAAGCCCCACCAAACCAGACTTGGAAATATCTAGTTAGAATATTCCAGTGGGCCATTCCTCGTTTGGATTTTTCTTCACCACCAACTACAGGTGTGGATCCAGGAATTGAAGTTAGAGGGGGCGCCAAAAGTAGGCAGGGGGTCTGAGGCCGCCTTGAGGCCCCTAGGGCGAAACCCTGGTGGTGGCCCAGGGAGCGAAGCTCCTGGATTCTAGAGATTTTGTACGGTCCTACGAAACAGAGAACCCAAGAGAACTTGAGGCTTGTATGATGAATTTTGATACATTTTATGCATAATTTGGTTGTGATTTAGCCTACCGGTACAAATTAAATCATATTCTATACATAAAATCAATTAAAAAGTTATTTTATAGAAGTTTTCACCAGAAAAACGTAATAAAATAGATGGTGAAATATTTTATGATTTCAAAAACATTGTTTATCGAAACAATAATTTTTATCACAAAATTTTAAATTATTTTTCAATGTTTTTTACATTAGTTTTTATTAAATTTTAATGATATGTATAATTCTTAACCATATACTCTGATCTAAAACATTAATTAATTTTCTTACTAGTTTTATTACAAAAGCTATTATGGAGTCTTAAGACTTAAGATTAAAGTAATCTGTTAAAATAAGCAAAAAAACTTGTTAAAATATATTTTTTTTAATTTAATTTTGTTTTAGCATGATATATTAGTTATTTAAAATAGAAAAATTTCATTTACAGACAATAAATAGCTAATTTAAAAATCATTAGAGTTATCTAGGGTTCTCTAGAGTTCTCTGTTTAGTAGTACCTGATTTTGTAGGGTAAAAATGAGGTCTACCGGGTAGAAATTTGTATATTTTTCAACGAAACTGATTTACGCTAACTTTTGACAATTTAAGGAGGGGTGCATGCCGGGTGCGCCCCCCCTTAAATCCGCCACTCAGCTAGTCCAATAGCCTCATCAGCCTCTTCTCTGTCAGAATCTCCACCCGACTCTTCATACAGAACTTTTCTGTTAAAGAGACATCTGTGAAAATCAGCGAGGGAGAGGATTAGCCACCTGAGAACCATCAGGTTCTATGACTCTATCTATTCTTGTTTTTCCCATAGCACTCCCTCTCCTTCTTCTTATGCCTTCTCTCATACCTCTTCATCCTCTTGCACTTCTTTTGCATCTCCTTTCTCTCCATCTGTTTCTTCTCATCCCTCTAGCTATGATTCCTCTTTATCCCTGTGCACTGTTCATGCATCTACCTCCTCCTTTTGTCACATCTGAATTTGTTCCTTTTCCTACCTCAAGCTCTCATCCTTTGTCCTCTTCGAGCTCTGCATCTGCTTCCACTTCTGCCACAAATCACTACTGTGTTACCTTTCTTCTGTCTACATGTAGCTCTCATTCCTATTTATGATTATCACCAGGCACTGTTCATTCATCTGCCTCCTGTCCCTCTGTACATCTGCATCTGTTTCCTACCCTCACTCCAGCTCTCATCCTTCTCCTTATGCACCTCCTCTGCATCTACCTAGCTCCTTGCATAGCACTTCATCTGCAACTGCTTCCTCTCCAATCTTTTTCAAAGGGCAACATCACATTCTTTCAAATTTCTATCCCTGTGTTTTAACTTTTTAAGGTCTTGTATTTCAGAGTTCTGAACATTTGTATCAGTAACTTAAATCTGTGGAGCACTCAGAGCCCTAGCCGCAGATCTGTACCGTTATGGTTTTATATATTTGTCTTTGACCATAACGCTACAGATCCCCTAATGCAAAAAACGTGCAATTTATGGCGCAATATTTTTTGCGCACTGTTGGGGAGAATTTCTCCACTTTCTAGCATTGGTCAATCAACTACCTTTCACTCCCTAATTCTAAGACACATTCTGTAGCCAATATGTATATTTTATCCACCTCCCAACCATTTATAGTTGTCTGTACGGGCAATAAACTTGCTTGAAGTGAATTTTCAGCAATCTAACAATTTTAATCAAGCGAGTTTATCACTTGTAGAGACGACTATAAAGGGTTGGGAGATGGATAAAAAATACAGATTAGTCAAATAATGTGCCTAGAATTAGGGAGTGAAAGGTAGTTGACTGATGCTGGAAAGTGCAGAAATTATCCTCAAAAGTGCGCAAAAAATATTGCGCGGTAAATTGCAGGGTTTAAAATTAACGCTCGCCCACTCGCAAATTGCGAGTAAAATTTGGTGTGGGCTCATAAAATTTATAACTTGCTCGCCCACATGGCGAATGAAAATTCTGCAGGGGCCGAATTCATTCAACTAGTACTGAACTAGTCCCCTTACTGAAAAACAAACATTTCCACATGTTATTTTATTCAAAACTCCCAACCAATGAAATAAATCACAGCAGCATGGTCTTATTGTACATAAATACCCTTCATCTTTTCCATTTAGCAGTACTACATGATTTGTGAAAGCCCAAAAACGATCTTTTTTTCCTAATCCGAATTTCCTCCATTCTTCTGTACATGGTTGATACGTAAAAGATATACAGTTTTAATAACTCCAAACTACCTATTCATATAAATTATAAGTGTTTTTCCTTATTACTATTTCAGATATGTTACAGTTAAAATATTTAACATTGAAAATCTTATTTATGTACCATTGTCACTTCATCGGTTGATCTTGAAGGAGCAAATACATGTATACGTATTCCAACATTGTTAAAAAAAATAAGGATAGTAAAAGTGATGCTTGAATTCAATTTTATTTCGTTTGATTAAATATTCATTTGACATTTGATTATATAAAGTAAGAACTCAAATTTTAAACAAATGTACTCATATTAATGCACAATCATATTTTATCTGTATCTACTTTTGTCCCAGTGTCCAAAAAAAGGAACAATTTTTTTTTAAATTACAGAAACTGACTGTGGGCTAACAAATTTAGCTGTGGGCTCCTAAATTTGAAATGTTAGGAGCCCACATGGCTAGTAGAAATTTCAGTTAATTTTAAACCCTGAATTGCACGTTTTTTGCATTACAGGATCTGTAGCGTTATGGTCAAAGACAAATATATAAAACCATAACAGTACAGATCTGCAGCTATCAGAGCCCCCATTTGGCTACTGAAATTCATTCAGCAAAAATAAGTTAACAAAATTTCAAAACTTGTAAATACAGGTTCCCATTGGCATTTGATCAAACAAAAAATAATACTATAAATTTATAAGTTTTGGCTGAAAAATTCAATCAGTATGCTAAGTTTCGAGAATACCATCTTAGCACACAAACAGGGCTACTGATACACAATATTGCAAACTTACTTTGGTGCATTGGTAAGGTTGAAATGGCAAAGGCAACAATGATCAAGGTAAAATTTTGATGCAGTTTTGGTGAAAAATATCCAGTGTAACCAGTGCTTTATCTGTCTCTTCTCTGGATTCAACAGGTGCATTTCCGGTGACTTCCTCATCAATGTCTCAAACACTACAGTTTCAATTCAGGTCTCAACAGTTGCAACCTCAGTTACTTCATCTGTCACAGTTCAATTACCTGTCTCCTTTCTAACTTAATCTATAACACCAGCTATTCTTCATTCTCAACATCCCACTGTGGGACATGGAGACTGGTTCTTCGGATGAGACTGTATAAACCGAGGCCCTGTGTCACAGTAGGTGCTGGCATGAAAAAGATCCCTCCCTGCTCAATGGCCCTGAGTGCCGAGTACATGTATAGGACGAATTTGCAGCTCTCTACTGCCAAATGGTGGCATCTCCATGAATGAAAAATTCTTGAGAGGGACGTTAAGCAATATTCAATCAAACAGTCATGCTCAGCACATGACAGAATACACAGGAATTATGGGTCTTAGTCAATTTAGCAGAGGGGGTATCT